CACTTTACCAGCTCTTCAGATGTGGATCTCTCTTCTCTACAGCTTATTTCCAGGATTTGGAATGGAAAAGGACACTTTTCTTTTTTTTTCCACCTCTCAAATTCAACACAGAGAAGCCTCCTAGGAAGAAGTCTTCATGTGACTTCTCTGGAGTCAACTGACATATGTCTTCTGCTGCTGTGTACTGAATTGTAAAGAAATTGTTTTGAAAACTGAAGTCTGATGTTAATTTGAAACACATACTTTGATGACGGTATTTGTGAATTCTCTACCTTTTGTTCCATATAAGAGGACTAAATAAACAGTAAACATGGATGAAAAAAAAAGTGTAAAAGAGCAAAGATGTCACTTTGAGGACTAAGGTGCCCCTGACCCAAGCCATGGTATATTTAAGAGGCATGTGGAAGTTGGGAAATGAATCAGGAAGACTGTAGAAGAATTGATGCATTTGAATTACCGTGTTGGAGAAGAATATTGACAGTACCATGGACTGCCTGAAGAACAAAGAAATCTGTCATGGAAGAAGAACATCCTTCGAAGCCAGGATGGTGAAGCCAGGATGGTGAGACTTAGTCTCTCATACTTGAGACATGTTCTCAGGAGGGGCCAGTACCTGGAGAAGGACATCATACTTGGTAAAGTGGAGAGTCAGTGAAAAAGAGGAAGACTTCCAATGTTCTAATGAAGTGAACTGAGGTAGCAGCAGCAGCAATGGGCTCAAAATGTAACCATAATCTTGAAGATGGTACGAGAGCAGGCAATGTTTCGTTTTTTTGTGCTTTGGATGGCGACGAGTCAGAGGCAACTGGACGGCACCGACCAACAACTGTGCTCTTTGCCCGTCTACTCCTGTTAGGAAATTCCCTCTCTACAGCCAAGACTTTCCTCACGGACATAGGAGCAGTCCCTGCCGTTTTGCTCAGCCTTGAGTCCTTTCTGCGTATAAATGCAGGGTACATGTATCCATTCATACATTTATATGGCTTCAGATCAGCAGTTCAAAACTACCAGCTGTTCCTCGGGAGAAAGAGGAGGTTTTCTGCTCCCGTAAAGATTTACAGCCTCGGAAACCCTGTACAGCATCGCTATGAGTCAGAACTGAGTCCACGACACAAAACAAAAAACCATAAGGTCAGCATTTCAAGTCCACCCAGCGCTCCACAGGAGAAAGATGAGACTTTCTGCTCCTGTAAAGATTTACAGCCTCGGAAACACTATACAGTCTTTATGAGTTGGAACCGACTCAATGGTGCACCATCAGTTAGCCAAGTAAAGTTCAGTGAGCTCTGGTGGTTAAAGTACTCAGTTGCTAACTCACAGATAAGCAGTTTAAACCCAGCTGCAGCTCAGTGGGAGAAAGACGTGGCAGTCTGCTTCCCTAAGGATTTTCAGCCTTGGAATTTCTATGAGGCAGTTCTATTCTGTCTTCCAACATCACTATGAATCCAGGTCGACTCAGTAGCACTGGATTTGGTTGTTCATTAGTGTTCAACTCCCTTTCCCCCATATACATCCACACCCCCATACCATCCCAGGGTAATCCCATAAGTTTCAATGGGGTAAATTATAATCATTGTAAGAGCAGTAGTTCATATTTATTGAGGGTTTGCCAAGACCCAGGCGCTGTTGCCCCATCATTTAATCTCAGTGAACCTGTGAGGCAGATCCTGTTGTTATCTACATTTTACAACAGAGGGAAGTGAAGCTAAGACAGGTGCATTGAAGGCACAAAGCCTGTCACCAAGGGAATTGGGACTCTCCCCAGGTGGTCTGACTTCAGAGCCTGACTTACCCGCTCTTCCCCCCGCCTCCCTTTGACTCCTGGTAAATCAAAACAGTGATTCTTGCAATTACCAAGTCCCTGTCTGAGTGCTGCATTTGGCTCATCTTTCATCTTCAAACAATCTGGTCTCTTAAACCCATTTTGCAGATAAGGCAACTACTCTAGTTCTCCGGTACTGTTGTAACAGAAATACCACAGGTGATGGCTTCAGCAAACAGAGACTGATTCTCTCAGTTTAGAGATTAGAAGTTCAGAGTCAGGGTGTTGGCTGTAGGTTAAAGCTCTCTTCCCGTGTCAGCTCTAGAGGAAGGTCCTTGTCTCATGTCAGCTTGTTTCCTGGGTCCTTGGAGCTCTCACATGGCGTGGCATCTGTCTTAGCCCACCTCTGCATGCTTGTTTGGTAGCTTGCTCAATCTGCTCTTGTCTTTCTCAGAAGATATTGGCAAATCTTACAGGAATACTGGAAGCCTGGTGTGGTGCTGTGGGTTCATGCGCTGGACTGCAAAGTCAGTTTGAACCGCAAGGTTGGCAGTTCAAGCTCACCAGCTGCTCCTCGGAAACCTTAAGCAGGGCTGTTGTGGGTCAGAACTGACTTGACGGCACATCACCACCACCACCAGCACCACAGGAATACTGCCTCATGAACAAAGAGATCCCATTCCCACGTGAGATTATAAGCACAGATACACGGTTAGGATTTACAATCTGTATTTGGGGGAGGGGGGACAATCTAGAGGTCAAGTCACTTCTGCAAGGATTGGTATCTCTCATACCCTGCCTTCAAGAATGAAGGAGGGTAAAAATGGGAATGCTGCCCACCCTACCTCAGCTGGAGAGAGCCACCTGGCCAGTGGTCTGTGGCTGGTTAGCTGGGGGTCTATAAAGGTCTGGTCCTCCAGCTCCACTTCTGCTGAGAATTTGCATTTCCACCCCAGATAGACTGAATCAGGATGTACATTAGGACTTAACAACCACCTTAAGATCTAGATGAATCACATGGGCATCTTGTTAAAATGTAGATTCAGTCAAACATCCAGTTCAGATTCTCAGCAGGAAGTTGAACCCCAATGAACCCGTTCTAAGCCCTGCTGCTCCCTCTACCTCTTCCCTCCCTTTCCTCCCATGGGTGCTGACCCCAAGGGCCCTCCTGCCTGTCTATGCCCACTCCTCACTTACAGACCAGGCCATTATGGGACAAACAGTATTATGCAAAAATGGAGGATTGTACATAACTGCTGCATTACATCATTAAGTAACTGCTGAGTTACATCATTCCATAGCTGCCAAATCTCGTCATTCTTTAACTGAGAATCGTGGCCCAGCCAAGTTGACACTTCACCTTAGCTATCACAGACTCTGGCCTTGCTTGGCATTCATTACTACCAGCCTTATGTCATTAATGCATAAAACAGTAAGGTAATACATTTTTACTATTGTCAATGCAAAAGGTCAACTGAAAAGATAGTTGATAAGTGAGGAGTAAATATGTATATATGTGCATTTTTAAAGTTATCAAGTTAATGTAAGTATGAATACTTGATCATATAAGTGTCAAGTTAATATAAGTATTGATAAGTATTGGGGCCTATGTATTTTTACAACAATTTTAAAAAATTAAAAAAATAAAAACTGCCCTGCTTTGTAGGCCCCATCTTAGAGCTGCTTCCCAGGACACCTGGATTTGAACCTGAACTCTTCACCACTCCCATCACGGCCCTGCCTGCAGAGAGAGGGCTTTCCTTTCTAGCTTCAGCAGCAGCAGCTCCAAGAAATGACCTATTGGGCTGACTGAGGTGGGGCAAGAGCCTGAGATTGCCCCCACTGCCGGAGAGTTCTGCCAGTTTCCACCCTGAGCTGGTCAGGGTCCTGAAAAGATGCAAACCTGGTGCCCAGAATCTCTGCACAGTACAGTCTAAGGCACATGTCATGTGCTCGCCTGCTCATGGCCTTCATTTTGTGGACCCTGGCTTGGCCCCATCTGTCGTCCACCCAGGGACTCTAGCCTTCAGGACTCAACTCAGATATCTGCTGTGGGCAGAGACCCCTTGGTGTTTGTGGGGAGTGGGTGTGGTCGGGAGAGTGGACTTGTCCTCTTTACCTACTTCTGCAGTGGCTGGGATTTTTCTAGCAAGCATGTGCTTGGTGAATTACAAGGCAGCATGTCACCATCTCTGGGAAGCCTTTTCTAGTTGTGTCCCCCTATCCTTGTAGGTGGATTTGGGAACTCCCTTTTTCGGCTCTTTAAGACTTAATTCTTGCCTCTGCCCTTCCCTATCATAAGTCACATGTTGCCTGCATCTGGGACAGGCCCAGGCTAAAGCTGGGGCAAATGTTGGTGGTTATGTGCCGTGGAATCAGTTCCGACTCATAGCGACCCTATACAGGGTTTCTGAGGCTGTAAATCTTTACGGGAGCAGAAAGCCTCATCTTTCTCCTATGGAACAACTGGTAGTTTTGAACTGCTGACCCTCAGGTTAGTGCCCAATACTTAACCACTACACTACCAGAGCTCCTTGGGGCAAATGTTAGTAACTACTTATTTCCTCAGTCTTGGGGTTTATCAACCTTTTTGATAAAAGTTTTTGAAACTATATTCCCTAAAATTCGGCTTTTTGTTATCTCTGCATCATGGAGCATGCTCACCAAGTTTCCAGCTTCCATGTATTGATGGCCTGCTGCCGCTCCTCAGAAACCCTATACAGGGTCACTGTGACTCAGAGCTGACTTGACAGCATTTAACAACAACAACTGTGCACAAGCTGTTCATATGCATGTTGTTGTTGTTGGCCGCTGAAGAGTAGTTCCCCCCACACACACTCATGGCGACCCTATACACAGTAGAACAAAACATTGCCCCATCCTGCACCTTCCCCATGATTGGTTGCCGGTTGGGTCATTGTGATCCACGGGGTTTCTGTTGGTGGATTTTCAGAAGATCATTAGGCTGTTCATTATAGTCTGCCTTAGTCTGGAAGCTTCACAGAAACCTTGATACTATGTTCAGCATCAGCATCTCATAGCAACATGTCCACTGACAGACGAGTGGTGGTCACGCTTTGCGGTGCACTGACCAGGAATCCACCCGAGTCTCCTGTGTGGAAAGCAAGAATTCCACCACTGAACCACATATGTGAGCATGTCTGATCTAAACTTCCCATAGCCGTGTGAGGAGGGCATCCCAGGAAGCCTTGGGATCTGAACTGTGGTTGTCTTGCAGCTGCTTCTGCACAGAGTTTATCGTGGGCCTGGTAAAGTGGCTGGAGTTGTCCGAAGCTGTCTTGTCCACAATGAATGCTTTCACCAGTGGCCTGGGCGGTGAAGGAACAGACATGTTTGTTCAGATTCTGTTGAAAGACCCCATCTTGAAAAACGACCCATTGGTGATCACCCAGGTCTGTACCATACCTGGTTGGGTGCATCTATGGGATGTGGGGTGAGGTGGGGTGGGGGAGGTAGGGAATTGAGGATCGGGGTGGAGTGAGTAGATTTCCTTTCAAAAGTCAGTCTGAAAATTGCTTCTAGTGGGGTGGTGTGACCTGAAAGATAATGTTTCTTCATAATGTAGTTTATGATGATGATATTGTTATTGATTGGTATTGGACAGTACTAGTTTAATATTTACATAGTACTTATTATGCATTAGTGTCTTTCCAAAAATGAACTCTTTTAATTCTCAGATCAACTTTATGAGGTAGGCAATATCACCCCATTTTACAGATGGGAAAACAGAGAAACAGAGAGGTTAAGTAATTTGCCCAAAGTCACGCAGCTGATAAATGGCTCAGCCAGGTTTTGAAAGCGCTATCGAGTCAGTTCTGACTCACAGCCACCCTCTATAAGGTTTCCAAGGAGCAGCTGGTGGGTTTGAACGTCAGACCTTATTGTCAGTAGTCCAGTACTTATCCTATAGCACCACACCAGGGCTACTCCCAATAATCAGACTCCAGAGAATATGCTTCTAACTACTCATCTGTGGTGCCTTTTTCAAAAGCAGCAGCTTTACTGTGTGCCCCTGGGTAAGTGACTTACCTGCCCTGTGTGTAGGTAAAGCTGGTAGAAACTTGTGGCTGTTGGTTACTGTAGGGAAGAGGTGGGATGTATAGATTTTAAACAGCCCCTTCCATTTCTGTCCCCTTCCCCACCTTTTCTTCACAACCTGAAACCCTCACAGTTTTGTTTCTTTGTCCACTTGCTTGGTATCTATCTCACCGCTTGAATACAGACCAGGGGGGGTTATCTGTCTGCTTCTCCCGCCAAGTAGGAGTCAATTTCTCCCGCCAAGTAGGTGTTGAGTGAGCAGGCTGGTAGCACACCAAGTCATTACTGATTCATGTTTCCTTTCCCCCCAGGACCTGCTGAGCTTCTCAATCAAGGATGGTAAGTGGATTTTCTAAGCACTGTAAATTGCGAGCACCCACCTTCAGCCGCAGGCAGTGAAGCAGGGGTAGGTGCCCTCACCCATGGTGCTGTTCTCCATGGTCTCTGTGATGTAAGGAAGGAAAGGGAGCCCAATAGAGTTGGTGAGCTGGTGAGCTGGTGAGCACTTCATTCCCGCCAGGCACTGTGTGGTGCTCTTAGTGCTTGCTTCACTGACCCCTCACATAGCCCTGTGGTTTCACTTCCTAAGCAGGACCCCCCATCTCCACTCATCACCCTGGTCCAGCCACCCTCATCCCTCCGCTGGACAGTAGACAGCAGTGTTCTTTACCCCACAGCTCCAGCTGATCTCTCTGCTCAGTGTCCACCAGTGGCCCCTGCTACGGTGGAGAGAAAGACCAGGACCTTGAGCAGGGCTCACAAGGCCCTGTGGGCACTGCCTCTGCCCTCTCTCCTCACACTGTGGCTGTACCCACTGTGGCCACACTCTGGCATGCACACTTTCTCACCTTAGCATCTTTGCACATACCCTTCTCTGTGGCTGGAAAACTCACCTCACTTCTCTTTGCCCACTCCTTTCTACTTGTCCTTTCTTGCTCTGCTCATCATCACATCCCTGGGCAAGCCCTCCTAACCTCCTCCTGGCAGCATGTCACCACCATCACCGCCTCACCTCTTGTCATGTGATTCTTTAAGGAGGCCTAATGGCCTGCTAGTTAAGTACTCAGCTGCTAACTGAAAGCTTAGTGGTTTGAACTCACCAGTTATTCTTGGGGAAGAAATGTGTGGGAGCTGACTTAGGTAAAAACTACAGCCTTGGGAACCCACTGGAGCAGTTCTACTCTGTCCTACACTGTGAGTCTGAATCAACTTGATGGCAAGGAGGTTTGGTTTTGTGTGATTCTCTGTCTTTTGCCTTCCCTACCTGACTGTCAGCTCCATGCAGGTAGGGTCCATGCCTGGTTTTCTTCACCACCTGTTCTGTTGCTGAACACAGCACCTGATGCATAGTACACACTCAGTAAATTTTGTTGAAGGAGATAGATTTGTTGTACACTATTTCATGGGTGAGGAAATTGACTCAGAGAGGTTAAGCAAATTACACAAGGTTGCTCCATAATGGTAATGTGGAATTCCACCTATATTAGTTTCTTCAGCCTACCATAACAAATCTCCACACACTGGGGGGCATCAAGTGACAGCAGTTTATTCTGTCACAGTTCTAGAGGCCAGAAGTCCAAAGTCAAGGCTTTGGACAGTCAAGGCTTTGGACAAGAGTCATCTGTCATTGTCTCTTCCTAGCTCCTGGTGGCCCCAGGTGTTCCTTGGCTTATGGTTGTAAAACTTCGGTCTCTGCTTTTGGTCTGTGCTTTTGTCTTCGTTGGAACTCCTCTTTCTTCCTTGCCTTTCCTCTGTGTGTTTCTTACAAGGACTCTTGTCATTGGATTCAGGTCCACCCAGATGATCCAAAATGATCTCATCTCAAGATCTTTAACTGAATGGCATCTGCAAAGACCACCTTTCAAAAAAGGGTCACATCCATAAGTTCTAGGACATATCTTTTAGAGGCCACCACCCACAGCCTGCATCAATCACCCCAGGGGGGCTTCTGTCATCCACTACACAGTCTGCCCCAGAGGGCCTTCCACCACCTCGGACTGCCTGGACTCCCCTGCTGTTGTGCAAAGACTTCTTATTATCCCTAAACTGATGAAAGGTTTGGGCACATTGATGCTTATTCTGATGGGAAGCAGGAAGTGAGAACATAAAACTGAAAATGGAATCCCCCACAACTTCCAAACCATGTGATAGGAGAAATCTTACCCCTTCCCACCAGAATCCTGGCCATTGGTGTGGGGAGAGGAGGAGGAAGGAGAGAATTTAGGAGAGAAGGCAGCATGTGCAGAAGCTGGTGGGAAAGAGCACACCACAAAAGGAAGGTGGGGGGGTCTTAGGGCTAGTGAGGTGGCGGCCATCAGCTGAGCTGGGGAGGTGAGCAGACGTCACCATCAGCTTATTGTTGTTAGGTGTTGTTCAGTTGAGTTTTGACTCATAGCAACCCCATGTGACAGCGTAAAACTGCGCTGTGGGTTTTCTAGGTGGACCACTGGTACTTTCTCCCTAAAGAGTCGATGGTTGGGTTCAAACTGTCAACCTTCTAGTTCCAGGGTTCTATAGGGCAGCCCTCAGTACACAGAATTGAATATTCAGTACATAGAATTGAATATTATGAAACATTATCATAATGATAAAGCCACCCTTTGTTGAGCACTTACTATGTAAGGCATGGTATTGAGGACTTGGATAGGCCCTCTCAGCCCCCTAGGAGGCAGTGTGGAGGTGGTTCCCATTTTGCAGACCTGGGACTTTCACAGGCAAGGATCATCTTGGACGATCCTCTCACTTTGACAGGTGGAATGATTGAAGTTCAGAAGACAAGTCCGGGCTTGCCCCGGGACACACAAGTGGCAGAAGTAGAACCCAGGTCTCCAGCCTCCCAGTCAGTACTTGCCATTGCCTCTTCACCGGGCAGAAAGAAACACTGCCCTGGGTTCCAGAGTCCACCTAACTACTCACCAGAGAATCATGGTGACATCCCACCTGACTTCCTGCCACCAACCCCCAAGCCTTCTGAGTACCCTTGGACACCTGGGATGCCTCACTGTGCCCCATCTGCCGTGGGTGACCTTGGGCCTGAATAATTAGAGTAGATTTTTAAATGACCTGTTTTATACCTCCATTCTCATGGGCACCATCTAAGCCAGCATTGCCTTTTACATTTTCATCGAAAATGAAAACACCCACCATCTGCCACCAAGCTGATTCCAACTCATAACCCTGTGTGTTTCAGAGTAGAACGGCACTCCATAGGGTTTCCAATGGCTGCAATCTTTTGGAAGAAGATAGCCAGACCTTTCTTCCGAGGTGCCTCTGAGTGACCTTTCAGTTACTAGCCAAGTACTTAACAATTTGTATAACTTAAGGACTCCTTCATTGAGAAGTGTTGTTGTTAAGTGCCATTGAGTCAGTTCTGACTCATAGCAGCCCTGTATAGGGTTTCCGAGGAGTGGCAGGTGGGTTTAAACCACTGACTTTGTGGTTAGCAGTCCAGTGCCACACCAGGACTTCTTATTAACACCTATTAAATTTTGGTCACGGTACCTAACCCTGGTCAAGTTTTGTTTCATTTCATCCTCACAGATATCCTTTAATGCAATTGCTCCCATTTTACAGATGAGCAAACTGAGGTTCAGAGAGGTGAAGTTACTTGCTTACGCTGTTAAGTAGCAGAGTTGGCTGTTCTAAAACAAGTGCTCTCAACCAGAACTTTAGCAGGTCTCATCCACAGGGTTGGGACTGTAGAGATGTCCTTGTGGAAATGTACTAATACCTCATCTTTAAAAAAGATCCCAATCTGGTGTTAATACCTGCCTTTGATTTCTTTATTCTCCTCACCCCCACCCCCAGTCTGGTGCAGCCACAGATGAGTACAGCAATGAAGAGTATGGCAGCTTCCTAACGCACCCAGGATTCCCATGGGAGCAAGTGTTAGGATTCCAAAGGACCCTGGAGTTGGGAGGGCACTCAAAGGCTACATAGACTGATGTCTCCTCATACAGATGGGAAAACTAAGGCCCAGAGAGAAGACTGGCTTGTTCCCGTCTAATTCCTTTATCCATGTTAAGAGGAAGCCAGGGATCAAGAATGAAAAGCAGTTGGGGTGGGGTGGGGCAGGGCAGCCTACCTGGATTTAAAATGCAGACTCTACCCTAGCAAGTTGCTGTACCTCAGCTGCCTCACACGGCAAATGAGACTAACAGTCGGCCTTACCTTACAGGGTACTGATAGGATTAAATGAGGTAATCCATGTACAGTACTCAGAACAGAGCAGGCATGGAAAAGGCCGTGAGTACCAGGGCAGTGAGTGGGGAAATGGGAAAACCCAGGAAAAGGGAAACTGTATTCTCTTGTTCCTGAGACTCACTTATCACGTAACCTTGATCAAGTCACTTACTTTCACTGAGCTGCAATGTCAAATCTGAATAAGAGGTAAGAGCCAAGTACCTTATGGGGAACGTGCCTTATTAGGAACGTGATCCAGCTCCTTTCCCACAAGCTTCATGAGGCAGGCCCCTTGTCTGACTTGTTCCCCTTGGTACCCTAGCATCTCCTACGTGGATTGCCATGTGGGAGACATTTAGTATTTGTTGGGTAGATGAGGGTTAGACGGATGGAGGAGGAAGTGGCCTTTCTTTAGAGAATGAACTTAGTCCCCAGCAGGGTGATTTTTCTACATTTGAGAGTTAAACCATTTTCCTCTTAAAGAGATTGATGGGTCAGGGGTGGGGTGGGACAGGACACACAGCAGAGGAGGAAGCTGGCTGTACTGCCACCTCCCAGATTGGAGACAGGTGATTAGTCATGGAATCAGCCCAGGAAACCAACATAGAAGGCTGCCTTTCCGGAAACTTCCTGTAAGGCTGACCTTTTACTGGCAGTTTTGGAGTTTTAGTCACAGAGCGATGCCACATGGCAGCTGGGTGGAATTCTTTTGTGCATTCCTCTTTGTCTTCTCATCCAGTAACAACCCCACACCACTGGAAAAAAATAATCTTCTGTGTTGAAGGTTAAACTGAATTTGAGCTGAGAACTCCAGACGCGTGTCTTTATCTTAGCACTATTGCTGTCTACGGCTGGATAATTCTCTGTGGTAGGGGTCACCCTGTGCACTATAGAACGTTTAGCAGCATCTCTGGCCTCTACCCATTCATTGCCAGTAGCACTCCCTGAATTGTGACAACCAAAAATGTCACCATGACATTGGACATTGTCCCCTGAGGGGAAAAATTACCTTTAGTTGAGAAGTTTGAGGTTCTGTGGACCCAAATTCATCCGTGTCAGGTGGGTCAATTTATTTGCAGCTGGTAAAAGGCTTTCAATTGTGTGGATCATGACAAACTATGGACAACATTGAGAAGTATGAGTATTCCAGAACACCT